TGGACTGCTGGGGAGTCAGATTGAGGATTGCAGGCTGTGAGAGCATTGGGACTGTGTTCCTTCCGAGTTGCGTTGATAACACCAAGCAGAGTATGGGTCACGCAGTGAGTGATCAGTTTAGGCTGGTGACTGAGAGCGACCCTTGGTCCAAGTCCCAGCTCAGCCACTAGCCAACTGTGTGTCTGTAGGCAGGTCACTGCCCACAGACTTAGTCTGCTTACCTGCAGAGTGGGGATGCAACCATTATTTCCCTCGTGATGGTTCCGTGAGGATGAACAGATCATGCATGTAGCACATGATAGGTAGTCTTTTTAGCTATTGGGAAACAATAAGGATTTCTTGAGTAAGTGGAAGAATAAACTGCTTGGAAGCATTTCAGGCTTCAGTTAAGCTCAGAGAGTTCTGGCCTGAGATTCTCAGGAACCTGCTTTAATGAGTAGAAAAAGATGATTTATAAATAGCACATTAAATGTCCGCATGCACATGGTGCTCAAGTACCGCAAAACCATTAAAATAGAACAGTTGGTGCGGTCTTACCAGAACCAACTCCACGAGTGAAAAGGAATTTTAAACAGTTTTACAGAGAACCTGAAGCTGCATTTCCTATTATTCCATTATTAAGTTGACGATACACAGGGGTAATAGAAAGCTGGAGCTGAAGTTTTGTTCTTAAGTACCATTAAACGCTCTCCTGACATCTTTAGACTAATCATCTACTTGTCAGACCTGGGAGGGTCCCTTTTCACTTCTGCCTTAACTTCAAGCTTCTCGACTAGCCGAGTCCGAACGGAGGCACCCCCACTGTAGTTGTGGCCTTAAGCCCGAGAGACTGGCTCTGCATGAGCTTGCTTTTCTGAGGATGGGTATAGGAGTTTTTCAGCTCTGTGTGTGACCCTCACAGACTTCTTGAGATTTTTACTCTGTGTCCCACATATTAGAAAACGTGCTTGATGTCTCTTAGTTCTAATGCCTTTCGCATCTGTTCCCTTTCTTCTGTTGATGATGACGATGATGATGATGTCAGCAACAACTGCGTATTAGACACCAGGAGCTGTGTCAGTACTTTCTGTAGTATTAGCTCATGTAGCCTAAGTAGCAGAACAGTGGAGTGCGGACCGTGTGCTCAGAGAGGGGAAGTGATGATCAGAGGAGCCTGGCATGTCACACAACTGGTAGGTAGCAGAGATGGAACTTGAACTCAGATCTTTGATTCCAAAGACCATCGTCTTAACCCCTCTGCTTTCCTGCCTTCCTGCTACAGCCCATCTACAGCTTTTGTTTGGTAAATGATCTTCCTCTCATGTCCAGCACCAGAAAATGATGGCCTGAAGATGTTCTTAAATTGTGTTCCTTATATCGCATGTTGGGATATCATTACTGCCAGGGATTCTGGTGGCATCTACCCCTGTCCTGCATCTCTGCTACTGCCCCCTCCCAACAGTGGCTGGATGGATGGTGGTGGAGGGGAGAAGGAGGCAAGAGCATAGGGGGTGAGGGGCAAGGAAAGGGGGCAGATCATCTGAGAAGGGGTGGGGAAAGGATTTGCCATAAGATGAATATGTGTGACCACCTCTGACAATGACTGGTTTTTACTGAGAGGCGTCCTCGTCCATGAGAAGATCTCAGACATTGGAGCCAGCAGACCAGAGAGAGACCTGCTACTTAGAAACATGCTCACTAAGCCTCATTTCCCTACTCTGTAAAGTGAGGAGGATGATACCAGCTTGGCAGGATTGCTGTATGAGTTAGAAATAATATATGTAAAACACTCACATAATCTATGCTCAAGAAAAGGAAGCCATTATCGCAGTAGTAGCATTAGACTAGAGGGGAGACTCCTGGTGGAATAATTCAAACTCCTTAACCTGCTCCATCCATTGCTGTTCTCAGCTCCAGCTGTATACTGTGGGAAGGTGACAGAGAATTCCAAGTACGTGAAAACAAGTCCCGATTCCTCAGATCTGTTTTCATTCAGCAAGTGTAACACACACTGACCTGTTTACAAGGCAGTCATTTAAAAACCTCAGCTTGCTTGCCCATTTTAAAATCGATTCTGTGCGTATGGCCCAGTTTTGCTTGTTAGAGATGTCTGAGGTTCATACATGAGATTTAGACACATTGGTGTTTTCCAGTGACTGTTAGAACCAGATTTGGCTTGCGGAAAAGCGCCATGGCTTGCACTGGCCAAGCCAAATATTTACCACCATCAGAAGTTCTGACAGCACCGTGCTGTTACTTTGAAACCTGGATACGCATACAACTGTCCAGCAGCTGGAAAGAACCTTTAAGGTCACAGAATCCAGCTGTCCATTAAGAAATTAGGAAAACGAGTTTCCATAGATCCTGACATATTTCCCTTCAAACACCCCTATACCAGCATCACAAGATGTAAATTAGAATAGGCCTATTGTTGAACGTGATCCTGTTGGGGTTAGTGAGGGTCTTCCCGACCTTGCTCCATTGGAAAGACTGTTCTAAGAAAGTTATGTGGATATAATCTGGTGTTAAGAATTGGATTCAGCAAAAATGGTGGCCTTGAGGAAAACACACCAAGTGTCAATTGCAAAACCCCATTAAAACAATTAAATATGGCTTGACTAGACAGTTCAGCAGTTGTGGATAAAGAGCAGGAAATCTCAGGTAGGTCACCTGTACTCAAATCAGGTTTTGGTGGCCTTAGGCAAGCTACCAAACATCTCTAAGCCCTGGCCTGCTCACCTGTGTGATAGAAATAATATTGACAGCTACATAAATAGATTTGCAAGGATTCGGTACTGTGATGAAGATAAAGCGCTTAGCACACTAGCAAGAATCTAGTCCATACATACTAGCTGCCAACCTTGTTATCTTCCACTGATAAGCACTGCTTAGTCCTGGTTTCATGCTAGAAGGCCCCTTTGTGGACTCCAGAAACTAGATTTCTTCAAAAAATTTTACAGGGAAAAAGTTCCAAAAAGTGAAACTGAAGGGACCTAAATGATTTTGTATAATTGTCTCCTACATTAGACTATGAGTAAAAGACCAGAGGCATTTAAAAAGAGGCATGTAAAGCAAATGTTCATTGATGAATTTTCTTCTAGGTTTAAGTGGGGTTATCCTCACATTGTATTTGCTTAAGTTGACATAATGTTGTATGAGGAGAACACTCAAATTATTTTTGTTCTAAACCATCATAAATTGAAATGTACCTTTAAAAATTAATAAAATTTTGAAATATACAGTTGGAAATGAAGACCTACAAAGTGCATGCAGTGCCTTTGGCCTCAGCAGCTCTGCTCCAGCCGTGGGCGGGGCCCTGCCTACACTCTCCTCTGTGCTCTCCCGCCGGGGAGGTGTGCGGGGCATATGAAGCAGGGAGGTCAGCCACATTTTGCTAAGGATGGAAACTCAGGATTGGAATAAATGCCAATAGATTTTCATATAAAAGCAATAGTTTTTTATGGGAAAACCTGTTCAGAAAAAGTTCAAGTTTTTAAAAAAGAATTCTCCCCCAATCTTTCCATAATTTAAGCCCCCCCCCAAAAAAAAAACCAAACCCAGCATAAAAGCCTGCATTAAATAGCAAGTCAATATTTACCCAACTCAGTGCTTCAGTGCCCAGCTTACAGTCTGGGACCTGTGATGCGTCACAGGCCTGGGCCTGTCAGCCAGCACGGTACTGAGTAAGACCCTCCGTCACACTCCACCATGCTCTTCGCCACAGTTACTTCAGGCTTAAGCCTGGCAACAAAACGCCACTGTGATGGTTACTGTGGATTTGCTTATTTATAAACAACTGGAATGAGTTGTAAACCCAGTGATTTTTAGGTTGATTTATTTATCAGACTTGATCTGTTTGACAGGGGTCCCCAGACTAGGCCGTAATTGTGCTTCGTTAGTGACCTCCAGGCTAGGGAGCTGACCTCTGAAAGATATTTTTATACTCAGGTTTGACACCCTGGGAGCATCCCTTGGTCCTAGTTCCAGGGATGTCATCTGTAGAGCCCTGCCACTTCCGCCTGGTGCTCACCACCCCCACATGCACCTGGGTGTGCTCCTTGCCATCCCCTTTATCTCTGAGCTTGTGCGTTTTGTGCATACCCCTTTGATTTCTTACTAACAGACATGGGGCTTTCAAGCATTATTTTGAGTGGTGAATTTTCTCCTTAAGCCTGATGTACCTAGACCCCAACGTTGTTGAGCAAGAACTGCTAATGCAGTATTGGGAGAAAGAAAAGATGTCAGTAGTTGAGAGCCTTAACTTCTAAGAGTTGATGAGGCCGTGTCATGTCACCCCCAAACCCAGGAAAATGGTGCTGAGTAAAGCCAGTCATATTGCACGGTTTTTCCTGGTGAATAAACCTGTAGTATGTTGCCATCTAGTGGAACATATGGCAAACTAAAAGTTAATGTATTCTGACCGCAAAGGTCAGTCAGCAGAGCTATTTAAGTCAGCCAGAGAAAATAACAAAGTGTTTCTAAAGGCAAATGTTTTGCAAACACATGCAAATTCAAGTGAAACTAAAGTTGACTTTTAGTAATCATGTTTTCTTAAAGTTGGCAAAAGGTCGTTTTGTTTCTCAAGAGTTCATGAATATTTACTACTGGGAAACAAGTTTTTGAAACATAAAATTAGGTCAGGACCCTACATTTTCGTTGCCATTTGTACAGTAGGCACAGTTTCTTATCCAAAGTCCTAGGCAAAAGACTTGGGTATTACATGCTTATGTTAGTATTTTTTAAAATGTAATTTTAAGGTTTCCAGTACTTTTCTTACTTACATTTCCATTTTTTCTACTGAAGTCCCACAGAATAAATAAGCTTATTTTTAGGAGAAGCAAACCCATGACTTCACAGAGTAGGAATTTCACATTTTTTATTCTAACTATTATAGGTCCCTGAAATGTGCAGGTCTGTGGTTTTAGACCCTTCCACTTGCAGACCTGCAGACTTGGTTGTGGACTAGTTCGCGAACATTGACTCCTTGTTGTTTGTCTGCCCTTTTGCTTATGTTTGCTTAGATCCCTCCCTGGTGCCACAGCAGCTGAGTGTGCATCAAACCTGAAGAAAATCTACACAGTACAAACAGTACAGGTAAGATCAGAAAAGGTGCACACCCTATTAACATCGCATATGTTGTATGTGTTGACATTTAATCATCCAACCTGAAAACGGCCGCTGTGCTGGCAGCCCCCACCCAGGGTTCTGCTGTGGGATGGCTCTCATGTCCATTCTCGTGCAGCTGCCCTTGACGGAGTGGATCCCAGAGGGTGGCTGAGCACGTGCCCAAGTGGCCTGCTCTTTTGGTGACCTGCTACAACTTCTCTACTACCTAAACCTTTCACAGACCCTCAGGAGCAGCGGACTGCGCTGTGGTTTGGAAGACATGGGTCTTTGTCCGCATGCAAACGCCAGCTGGGCCACGGCCTCCGAGCTCTGATTGCCCATCTGTGAGGGCTCTGGCACCCATCTGCAGGGTGACTAAAGGCAGAGCAGGACTGTTGAGCATGGAAGTGGGAGGGCTAAGACTAGTCTCTTACTTCATGTTCAAATTCAACTGTACTAAATTGGGCAAGGCTCAACCTTTTTAATTTCTGTGAAATTAGTATGATGATAGCATCTACTTTGATGATTGAATAAGACAATGTTTATACCATGCTTAGCAGAATACCTGACATATGCTAGCATCTCAATAAATGTACACTCTCAGTTCTGTTGTTTCTCTGCCCAACTCTTAGGATGAACATTTCTTTTAAAAACTGGTTTATTTAGTTCAGCGGTTCTCAACCTGTGGGTTGCGACCCCTTTGGGGGTCGAACAACCCTTTCACAGGGGTCGCCTAAGACCATCGGAAAACAAAAAGATATTTACATTATGATTCATAACAGTAGCAAAATTACAGTTATAGAGTAGCAACGAAAATAATTTTATGGTTGGGGGTCACCACAACATGAGGAACTGTATTAAGGGGTCGTGGCATTAGGAAGGTTGAGAACCGCTGATTTAGTTGATTTCCATTTCTGTTTTCTTCAAAGGCAAATTCTACCAAGTTTCCATTTTCTAGTTATAGACAGAATAAGGCTGCTTCATGATTGCATTGATCATATGTGCTGAATTTTCTAGAAGGCCAGATAAAAATAATTTTCCTGTTGTGCCCCTAAATAATTTTTTTTAGAGTATGAAGCCTGTTATGTGATCACAAATGGAAGAGCCTTATTGTATGAAACCACTGTTAAATCAAATTTTCTGCCCACATTTATTTAAAAAATATGTATATATTCTCAGCCCTAAATCTTTTAATGTCTTAGAAATTCTAATAGTTGGTGTCTACATTGCGTCTCTTAGGCAGCCTCTTACATGCAGAAGCAGCACAAAGAACCTTTTTTTCAGACACTTCTGCCAATACCTGGTTGAGAAATTTTGTTTTTTTTAGTTATGCGATCCCAGGGAGGGCAGTAAGAGGACCGCCCCAACCATAGGCCATTTCTGATCTAGTTGGGAAAATGACAGAAGTATGTGGAAAGCAAAATAGCAGTGCTGCTGTAGATATTCTCAGGGCCCAGTCCGAGCAGCGTCACAAGGCAGCATGTGGGCCAATGTCCAGAGGGACAAACTCCCTCAGAGTCCAGGAAAGCAGTCCTCCCAACATCTCCCCTGTGGCGACTTTTGATTTTTGTCACCTCTTCCCAGCAGCTTTGTATAAACCTCAGAGCACTTGATTTTAAAGCCTGTTCTCATGGAAGTTCTTAGATCCCACTGATTTTTTGAGTCACTTCTTAGACTTTCTCCTCTCCATTGTGACATTGATCATTAGAGTGGTGGCTGGGTTTCCAGGGCAGATAGGCAGACACCAGTAAAGTCAGGAGAAGGGTAGGTTAGTGTCTCTGACCCTGTAGGATGACACAGAGCATTTGGCAGGGACTGGGCAGCAGCAGCAGTTCAGGGTCTTCAGGGGCCACTTTCAGGTACCCAAGCTGGCATACTAGCAAATACTTTCTTGAAAACTTTCTTTAGAACTACATTGGGATATAATTTATATGCAGTAAATGCAGATTTCTTAAGGGTACAGTGTGATAAATTTTGGCAAAGGTATGCACACATGTAACCATCGCCCAGATCAAGATCAAGACATTTCCATCATGCCAAAAAGTTCCTTCATACCCCTTTCCAGTCAGTCCTTTTTTCCCCAGAAGCAGCCGCTCTTCACATTTCTCTCACCATACATTCGTTTTGTTTTTTAATGAACCTCATATAAATGGAATCACACAGTACTTACTATATCTGGTTCCTTTTTACTCAATAAATGCTGAAGGGTTGAATGAATGAATGAGAGATTAATAAGTGAACCGTGTTCCTGAGGCAGAGCAGACTGCTCCTATAAGGATCTGTTAAACTGTCTGTGGGCCACACATTCTCAGTGGGGGCAAAAACTAATTCTTGGTGGGCGAAAAAAGTCTTACTCTTTTCTTGTATAAAGTGCAGACAGATATACATACAGTATATAAACAGATAACAGTCTGTCTGTGGCATTAAAATTTCACAAGGGAGCGATTAGGAAACGGCTGCTTCAGGTGCAGAGATGATAAGGACACAGCTCTGAGTGGCCAGGAAGCTCGGTCATGTCTCTAATGTCTCTGCCCTCTCAGTTTCCTCATCTGCAAAACTGCCATAATAAACAGCGCCTACTCCCGCAGGTTGACTGAGGGTTAAATGAGATTGCACCTAGCTCTTAGCAGTGTTTGGCACTTAGTAAGCACACAGGCGTTGCAGCTTTTACTGAAGTGTTGCTGGACTCTACCCTCTCTTCATCAGTTGATTGGCGAGGATGCGGGCTGGGGTGGAGGGTGGTCACACTGCCTGGGTTTATGTCCCATGCTTGCCACTTACCAGCTTGGGCAAGTTGCTTAAGCTCTCTGTATCTGCTTACTCATACCGATTATATCATGAGGCTGAGAATGGAACAGCACAGGAAGTTAAAAACGCATAGTAAGTGCCCAGTGCTAATCAGCTCATCTGCCATCGTTTGCCTACTTCTGTTGGAACATCTTTTTGTACTTGGCTCATTCATGTTTTATATCAGAAAACTGTGTACTACTACTTCTAGATTATTTATTTCAAGCAGTTATACTACAGCTAACTTACGAAAACTTCTCTAACTTATAAGCAACTTTTAGAATTTCAGCCCACGAGAGTCCTTAATGAATAGTCCTCAGTATTTAAAAACTAGCCGAAGTGCCCATCGTAAACTCATTTGAGGACTTGCTTTTGTTTCAGTCTTTGTATTCTGTGATTATAGGTTGATTTTTGAACTCTCACTCTGCCAGCACTTAAAAACTGCATCCCTAATCACATCTGTGTCTCCCCCACCCCCTATTTATGCTTGGATGGAATATAATAGCCAGGTGTTATTAATGATTGCTTTACATAAAGACAGTGTATCTTTTTGTACTTCGAGGCCTTCAGCAAATCAGAGATCTTGATGGGGTGGGGAAGAATTATCCTGGTTTATTAGCTGGGAGATTGAGGCTGAGAGGTGAGTGGCCCAAACCACCCAGTGGAAAGAGCCAGTCATGCTGTGTCTCTGGGGTTGAAACTTCCTTCCCCTCCGGTTCAGTTCCCTTTCTCTAACTCTGCCCTGACTAACAGGTGGAGGAGGTGAGTGCTTCCGGATGGCCCAGTGACCCCTGCTGAGGACACTCTCATCAGGGCCAACAGTAGAATTCTCTCTGCTTGGACTGAAATTTGTTTCCTACTTTCCTGCCTTTCTTGGAAAATTCCATTTTTCATGTAGATGAGTTTTCAAGATGCTTATTGATTTCTTTTATAAACATTTCCATTTTTTCCACATTTCTCCTGTGTTTTTATGTCCTAAATGGATGCTGTAGAGAATAGAACCCAGCTTCTGAACGAGCCTGATTTTATCTGTGGGAGAATGCAGAACTACCTGGCAGATGGGATTTGCAAGGGAGGCTTCTCATTCCCAGCACCTTCCCACCTTGCTCTCACAAGACCAGAACTCCCACCCCTGAAAATTCACTCCTGTGCAGCATTCTGTCTGTCCCACCTCAGCTATCTGTGTCATCACCTTCAAGTTTTTCCACACTGTGTCCCAATTGTACTGTGTTCTACCCAGTATTTCCCATCAGTTGACTGATTTTTAAAATTTATATAAAACAGAAACTTCATATTTCTTCTGTAAATTGATATCTAGCATCATTTATCGTAAACAGAAGGTCTTCATAAACATATATACACACACACACATATGTATATTTTTTTTAATTGAAAAGATGTTCTTTCTTTAACTGTGTACTGCCAGCAATCTTAGACACCATCCCTTATCAGAAGGTGTGGAGTTGTGGCACTGTTACAGGTCCTTAAGTCACGACAACAGGCTGCTTTCCAGATCCCTAGGAAATGAGGCTGTCCCTTTCAGACGGAGAGGTTTTATAGGTCAGTATTGATGGAGAATGATGGAAAAATTGATTGAAAGTGCTCACTGCCCTGGACAGAAGGGCAGCCTATGGTGAACGTTGTCCTGCAGTAGAGTGTGACCTGGAGTGCACCATTTGGGTGAAGGGAGGAGGCCGAGGGAAGACTCCACACCAAAGGGAGAGAGAGGGGAACCTGAAACAAGGTGTGCTTACTTCATAGCTCTGTCTGGCACAGACTAAGTGGGAGTATAACAGGAATCATGCTTATTTAATTTATTCATTAGGTGTGCGTATGATGGGATCAACATTTATAGTTATAACCTCGTTGTACAGAAGTAGAACTTCAGTCAAATTACCCATGACCCTCTATGTCTGCTTAGAGTGCCAGCAGTGGAGGCCATTTGTGTGGGTGGGATGGGCGTGGCGGGGGGAGATTCGTCTTGCAAAGTAAAAGTAATGTCACTTCAAATGTAAAACTTGTTTTCCGAAGGAGATCAGAATATGGCGACGGAAATACGAAATACACACTTACCAAAAGGATTATTTTAGGCTGAAGGCAATTGAGAAATAGCAGACATAGAAGTTGCTCTCCACCTAAAAGCAGGACATAAGTTTCCCTTTGTAAAGGGAACATGAATGTCCATTTGTAAAGTTTTCCCC